TTATCACACATGTGTATATGCAGAAAAGAACATAGAAAACGTAGGTTCTGGGCTTCCTGGGTTTCCAGCATCCTCAGAACATCCTGGAGAGCACCCGCCAGTGAGCGGGGTTGCTGTTGGGGATCTTGTGGGGGGATCGTCCCCCCAGCTTGCTAGCTCCACTTGTGTAACTGTTTGGCTCCCCAGCTCCACTCTATCAGCCTCAGGCCGTGAAACCTGTCTTCTTGTGCCCTGGGACCCTTGCACGTGCTGTCTGTGCCACTTGGAATTGTGCCCCACCCAGGCCCCAGGGCAGGCGCTCACCCCTTAGGTGTCAGCGGGCAGCAGGCCTCTGTACTCAGGGACACTGTCCCCTCCACACACTCGGGTGCCTGCCTGCTCCTTGCTGCATGGCCCCACACCCTTGGGCTTCATGGGGCTGGCACTGTGTTTGCTTTTGCCGACTTGTGGGATCCATGAACATGCAATGCGTGGCTGGACAGCAGATGAGCAGCGCCGCTCACCTGAACCCTCATGGCCAGAGCCACATGTGTGTGTCACAGGCAAGGCCGACGGCTCTCTCAGAGGAGCAGACTGTCGTGAGCCTGGGAGGCGGAGGGGAAGCCCTGGGTGCTCCTGCGTGTGGTGCTCGGCCTGCTGACGCCTCCCCTCAGCATCCGCCGTCCACCGTGCTTTCTGGGGCCCTTGAGCCTGGGCCAAGGCTGGCTGTGAGTGCTATGCCCTCTCTCTGCAGCTGGCCACAGTCGGGGCCTCAGCCAGGGCCCTGGAGGGACAGAGCAGCCTCCTTCTCTGGCATCTTCTCAGAAGGGCGCGCAGGCCTTGACGTCAGTCCGTCCTGTGCAGAGGTGGAGGCAGGGAGGCCCAGAACGCCAACCCTGCTGGCCACACCTGGGTCAGCACAGCGAGAGGCCAAACTCCACAGGCTACCAGCGCAGGGCCCACCGGACGCCCCATCCCAAATACCCCACGGCTGCCCCGCAAGGCCAGTGATTCATTCTGCCATCGCCTGTCCCTACCAGGCAGGGCGCCCAGCCAATGTGCAGTGGACGGTGCTGCGGGGCTGGGCCAGGTGCCCCGCTCCACAGCCTTGCCCTGCGCCCTCTGCTGTGCACCCATCTGTGTGAAGTGGAGATGCCCAGAGTGAGGCCACTGCTTGTCAGGTCACAGGCTGAGGCTGCAGCCCAGGGCTCACGCGATTGCACACCGACAGGGCCCAGGACGCTGAGGGCCGGCGGTGTTGGCAGTGATGCTGGTAATCGCTTCGTGAGAGGCCAGGCCTGGGCTGAGGTTCTGCCACAGGCACCAAGGACCCCAGCCGGGGAGGCTTGCACTGAGCGTGGTGGGTTGGAGCCACTTCTCTCAGGGCCCCTCTGCCTCTCATCAAGTCCGTTAATGGAAGGATTAGCACAGAGCAGAGATGCAGGCGGCAGATCGAGACTGTGCATCCCAGCGCCAGGCAGGGCCCCCTGAGCTAAGCCCAGGCCAAGCGCCACCTGCTCCCCAGGCCGAGTCCACTCAGTGGCCCTAAAGGAGCTCTGACCTCCGGTGCCTGCATTTCCGCAGGGCCACTCTCTCCCCCACTCTCCTGCAGAGCTCAGCGTGGAGAGGCCACAGTGTGCTCAGGGCTGGGAGGCTTCAGCCTCGGTGATTCGATGCAGATACCACCCAGACACAAGTCCACCGGGAAGGTTCCCTCAGGCGACCTCTGGGTGCAGCCTCTCAGGGAAGAGGGGTGTGGAGCCCCATGGGGTCAGGGTCTGCAGTCCAGTCTCAAATCCCACCTCCTCCTCTTGCCGCCTTGCAGAAAGGGCGAGCGGTCTCAGAGCCTCAGTTTCCTCATCTGCAAAACGGGGGTAGCGCTGCCCTCCTGGGCCTGGAGGGTGCCTAGGGCAGCGACAGTGCTCAGGACAAGGGAGCAGGTCTGGGAAGGTCTGGGCTGAGCCAGGATAAAGTGTGTGGTCTGCACTTAAAACAGAGGAGGAATTTGCTGGTTTTATCTAAGGCATTGAGGGAAGTTTCCTCGGGAATCCCAGAGGCTTTTAATTTTCTCTGGAAGACTGTCAGAGAACTTAGGAGACCAAAAGTGAATACATAAAGAGCTTTAGTGTGGGCTGGGAAGCCCCGAAGACTCCAGCCTTGGCTCTTTCCCTTCAGGAGGGAGCTAGTGAGCCTGGAGGGGCCATCCTGAGCCATCTGCCCTACACCTACATGCACGGTCCAGAGTCAGCAGGGAGGGCCCCTCGACCGCCCTAACACACCATTCCCTGTCCTCATCGAGTGCATTCAACATCGCAGAAAGATGCAGCTCCAAAAATAAGACAGGAAGCTGGAGGAAGGGAGCAGATGGAAGAGGAAGCGAAGATGGGAAACAGAACTGAACACAGAGACGCATTAATGCCTCAGCTCAGGGAAGCTGCCCACGACCATGCCTCTGAGCTTCCCAGCAGCCAGAGTGAAGAGGGAAACCACCCCCGGGCAGTTCGTAAAGCCAGAAAGACAAATGGGCTTCTAGGGGAGAGGGTGTCCATCCTACAACCCCAGACATTTCTCCTGTGGCTCTGGCCTCCACACGCTCCTGCACCCTTGTTATAGCAAGGCAAGTGTTAGTGAACTGCGGCGCAGCTTAAACCCCCTTGCGCAGTTACACAGGGTGCGTTCACATCTCCAGCACCACTGCTCCTCGCGCCTGCGCTCCCCGAGTGGCACCCTGATTGATCCCCACTTGAAGGGGTTCAGGAACGAAGACTGTCCTCACGCCCCTCCTTCCTCCTGGTGCTGGCGCTGACACTGGCCCCAGGTGGCCCCACCTCCAGGTCTGCTCTCTGGCAAGCAGGGCCCTGGCTGGCCCACTGCCCCGAGGCCCCACAACTCCCAGGCTCTCGCTGCTGAGAGGGCACAGACTGAACACAAGTGTGCACCGTCCCCAGGCAGAGCTGCCGGGGCCGGGAGCATGGCCCTCGGTCATGGAAAACCAGGATGTGGGAGGCATCTTGTCGCAAAGCCCAGGTGTTCTCGTGACTGGACAGGCCTGTGTCTGACCCAGACTGGCAGATGTGAACTTCCAAACCACCGCAAGAGTTGGGAGAAGCCCTCCTCGCGCCCAAGGCACTGTCTGGCAAGGCTGCGTGCATGGCAGAGCAGCTTCTCTTGAGTCTCTGTGAGGTCCCTGCCGTGGAGCACCTTTGTCCCCGCCAGGCCTGGGCCCTGTGGACAGGGGCACCTGCTCCTCCATGAGCAGCTCAGACACTGAATTCTTCTCAGGGAGAAGCTTGGGAAGACGTCGCCAGAGCCCTGTGCCCATTCCACAAAACACAACGGCCCCACTACAAACTCTCCCGCTGCTGTCAGTTCCATTAGTTTTATTAGAAATTTGCTGTTAGAGAACAAAGAGGCTTATGTATGTATTTTGTGCTAATCTCTTGGCAATTATGGGACTGTCATTTTTATCTTTGTCAGTGACAATTGGGTGTCAGAAGTGATTGATCATCTCAGTTTGTTGCTGATTTTAATTTGTTTACCACTGGGACAAACAGTACTGTAAAAGCAGTCTGGAATTTTCCTTTCTCTTAAAAACAAAGTATTTGTCCCATCGTTGGGAGGGGTAGCTGCAGGGGCTGCAGGCCGCCCTCCTTGGGGTTGGCCTTGTCCATCAGAGAAGCCTCCATCCAGACAGCTCTGGGCCCAAGCCACCTCCCTGGTGGCCAGACGGGAGAAAAGCCTGGGTTTGTCACATTTCAAACCTTTTTATACTAAGCCCACAAGTGGGAGGTGCCAGTAACTGGGGAAACATCTAAAGCTAAGTATTCGAGACAAGGAAACATGGGTGTTATTTATTATTTCAAGGCAGGCAGCAATAAAAGGTGAACACAAGGGAAAAATGCTTTATCAAACATAATAGTGAGTAGCTTTTTTTAGTTTTTTAGAATAAATAATAATTAAATCATGTAAGCTGTTACAGGAATTGCTTTAAAAAACCAATCCTCCCACCATAATTGCTTAGATACCCACATTTTTATAAATACTAGGTAACTATCCATCGTTTCTGTCAGCAGACTGTGACGCTGGCTGTTGGTGCTTCATAATTTACCACTGCATCGGGCGACAGTTGCAACAGCACGTGTGGAAGAGGTGTAGTAATGAGCTCCCCATGAGTACGCGGCTCCGCAGATTCTGTTTCTGCAGCGGAGTTAAGAGCAGCCGTGGTGGGGCGGGAGGCAGCAATTTGGTTGCCTAATTCATGTTTTGGAAGCAGAGCAGTGTGTGACCCCCAGCAGTGTCAACACACTGCCTGCCCCAGCTCTGTTTGCTACTCACCAAGAAAGCCCAGGCCGGGGCAGGTGCCAGGTCCTTCCTCGGTAACAGGACCAGCTGGGCAAGGTGGGGCAGGCCTGTCATCCCCACACGCTAGGAGGCTGAGACAGGAGGATCACAAGTCCAAGCCCAGCCTGGGCACCTTAACAAGACCCAACCTCAAAATAAAAAAATACAAAAGAGCTGAGGATGTAGCGTAGTGCAGACACCTTGGGTTCGATCCTGGTACTGAAAAAAAAGACTAGACACTGCTGCCCCGAGTTCCACTCCCAGAATGTACTTGCCACAGGAGAACAGTCTTTAAATACCAGCTTCTTTTGATTCCTTGGCTGCACTTAGACTTCTTGGGTGGAAAAATCTACCCATTAGGGATTCACAGGCAGGCAGGGGGTTTGCATGGGCAGCAGCAGGAGACAGGGTGCATTTTCTAGGCAGAGAATGGACCAGCTGAGTGCAGAGAGGTGGCAGGAGGGAACCATACATCTGCAGAGAGTGGCTGCGCTTAAAGAATGAACACAATCGAGGTTTCTTTGCCTTTTTCCCTTCCACTTTTCACGCCTCTAGCTAATCCTCACTACCTTCCCAGGAGGCAGAGAACTCGTGAGATCCTTACTGGTCCCAGGCTCCAGGGAAACCCGGATGCTGTCTCGTTACTGCCCTCCTGATGGTGTCCTCCTCTCGTCTTACAGTGAAGTTCAGCAGCTGCTTGGGGAACAAGGGGACGCAGTATGAGACCAACAGTGTGGACTTCAAAGTCGGGGCAGACGGGACCGTCTTCGCCACTCGGGAGCTGCAGATCCCCTCTGAGCAGGTGGCCTTCACGGTGACAGCCAGGGACCACCAGACGGCCAAGCAATGGGACGCCATGGTGCGGCTGCTGGTGGCCCAGACCTGGACCTCGAACTCAGGACGCAAGGTAAGGGTGACGACGGTGCAGGTGGGAAGTCTGCCGGGACCAAGATGCCCCACTCCACCAGGCTCCCTGAGGAGGAGGGTCAGCGGCTCTGGCCGAGCCAGCACCGAGGGCCACGCTGCCGAGGCCTCTGCCCTGTCCTGTGCTGGGCGGCCTCTCGGGCAGGCCGCCTGGATGGCACATGGGGCTCTGTGTAGTTTTCTAACAAAGCTGCCCCGTTTCCTCCTCAAATCAGACACCACAGGCCGTGCAGCTGGCGGCCTGAGGGTCTCACTCGCCAGCCAGGCTGAGTCCTGAGGAAAGGACAGGCGAGCCGGAAACCAAAGAGCAGCAGAGTCGCTAGAGGAGCTGGTGAGAGCAACACAGAGCAATGGAGGAAGAGAGAGACAGAGACAAACGGAAAGGGGCAGGGGGAGGAGAGAGGGGAGGGCTTCACCCCGACGTCGGCAGTTGGTGCTACTGATCCTCGCAGGCGCATGTGTTCGCGCGCGCACACACACTGTCACACATGCTCGCCCCACCTCCCCTCCCTCCAGCCATCCGCATGGCCTCCTGTGCAGGTGGACTGGACTGGAGAGACCCAGGTGACTCTGCCTCCCCGGTCCTGAGAGCTCTGTCCAGCACACTCCTTCCGTCCAGGACCAGCCGCCTCAGCTTCTCCGTTCATCCCCAGACCCTAACTGCTCCATCTCTGTGTGCGATAGGCGGTCAACTGGCCCCGTCCTGTCCACACTCTGCTGGACCTCAAGCTTCAGCAGCTGAGTCGCCTGAGGCGTGGGGGCTTCGGGCTGACGGGGAGGAGCGGAGCTTTGAGCATGGGCAGGGGACACTGAACACACTGAGTCCTTCCACTCCCGAGGCTTCTCTGCAGCCAGTGTGGGGTGATTAAGGTCCGCGAGCACTGTGCTGGGCAGCATCGAGCAGCAGGCCTGGGTGCTCCCAGGAAGGGCCCGTGGGAGAGGAGGGTTAAACGAAGCTGACAGATCCCTCAGCACAGCTGCCCAGAACCTGCCATGGCTGAAGGCACCTTGTGAGCCGCCAACGAGGAGACAGTCTGCCAGCTTCCCCAAACCCATCTGACCAAGGAAGCCTTCTTCATGGTACAGTGTGGAAGACAAATGTGCCGTGGAACTCACTCTGGGAAAGCAGGGACTTGTGCCATCTTCCTTATTGACTCCAAGTAGAGATGGTTTCAATGAGAGAAGGAAGAGCAGGACCGGGAGGACGCCAGTGACAAGTGGATGCCACCGGGAAAGGAGGTCCGGTGTGTCTTTCTGGGTGTGTGAAGCCGGACACAGCACGTCTCCAGCCACGGAGGCCCCCAGGATGCTGAAGACCCCCCAACTGGGCTGGGTGCTGTGGCAGGGTGCTTCACAGCACCCCTGTGAAGCTGCTCACCCCGTGCTTGGGGCCATGCTGCCCCTTATCCCTGATTGTGATGCAGAAACTTTGCCTTGTGAGCAGAGGGCAGAGCCCCTTCCAGTCCTGGAGGCCTCAGATAAAGGCACTAATTGAAAATGTAATGACACCTTTTGTTTGGCATGTTAATGAAGCAATTTCTAATGCAATTAATCCCGGTCCTCCTGGAAGGTGCAGACGGTGGTGCTGATTGCAATTAGGCAGTTTCTAGGTCGAGTACCCGAAACCCCAGGTTGGGCCTGGGATGCACCCAGCGGTGGGGCAGGAGACAGAACTCATGTCCCGGGCTCAGAGCACGAGATATGACCATACTGGGGATGGGCAGTCCGCCAGCCCATCAGACTCAGGCCTCCTCCCCTGAATTCATGTCTCTTGTTGATGTTACCCCGCCCCGACTTTCTTCCTTCTTTCTTTCTGTACTGGGGATTGAACCAAAGGCCTTCACACTGAGCTATATTCCCCAGCCCCTTTTTATTTCCTATTTTGAGACAGGATCTCTCTGAGTCACTAAATCTGCCAGGCAGTGCTTGAACTTTCGGTCCTCCTGACTCAGCCTCCCAGAGCGCTGGGATTATAAGTGTGTGCCACCTTGCCAGGTTTCCATCTTCCTTCATATATAATGTCTAGCACACAACTGAAAATGACTGGGCACAGGAGGTGGAAGAGGACAACATAAGTGAAAACCAGGAGAAGCAGCAGATGATTAAAAAAAAAAACACCTCCTCTGGGGGCTGCAGGTAATGGAGTCCTTGGACATAGATGTTGCAATCACTATGCTTACTATGTTTAAGCGAGTTAGATATAGGCTTCTGACATAATTTGTACAAGAATGAATTGGGCAGTTTGGAGCTGAAAAACATGACAAACTAAAGTAAGAGCTCAATGGGTGAATATATCTGCAGATAAGAAAAAAATTGAAGAAGGAATTATGGAAGCAAAAGGACCGAAGGTGTGCAGAAGGAAAATACAGAAGATAGGGCAAGAGTCATTAGAGAAGTAAAAGGGTCTAACATGTGTGTTTGGAACATGAGGGGGCTAAATGCAGCGGTAGTAATGTTTGAAAGGATAATGGCAGAAAATCTTCCAAAAGTTACAGCAGATATCCAGACACAGATTCAAGAAGACTTGGACCTGGATAAATATAAAGAAAGTTGCACTAGAGCACTTTACAGTAAGAGACCTAAAATCAGAAGTCAGAGAGAAAATCCTGATACAGGAAGGGGCAGCAACTGAGGCCTGACTCCTCCCTCTGGGGCCAATGAAGTGCTAAAAGAAAATGGAATTCTAGTGTTCAATTTTTTTAGGAACCCTCCAAGAAGTAGAGTTAAATTTTTCAAAAATACAAAAGCTACAAGAATCTGTCACACGTTGTGTTCTTTAGTCAAAAGACAAGTTGAGGTGAAATATCCGAAATGGAGGAAGAACTGAAAGTCCGGGGAGACAGAAAAGTACGAAGGAATCCCAGCAGCATGGTGCTTCCTGGAGTGTGAGCTGGAAGATTCAAGTGCACAAGAGCTGCATGAACTCTGAGGTGTATAGTTCAGGAAGATGATTGGACACCACACTGTCCCTAATTCTCTAGGCTGAGAATCCCTAATCCAAAATGCATGGAACCAGCCACGCCTCCTGTCGCAGATTTTTCAGATTTTGGAAGATTTGCAGATATACAGTGAGAGATCTTGAGAATGGGACCCAAGGCCAGACACACAATTCATTCATGGTTGTGTCCACCTTGCCCACATTGGTGGAAGGTAGCATTGTGCACTGTTTTCACTGAGACCTCCACATAGGCCAGGCACGGTGCTTCCCGCCGGTGGCACCATGGTGGACTTTAGAGTTTCAGATTTTGGATTTTTGGATGAAAAAACATTGGAAAGACAAAGATATTTGTTACAAGTCCTTTGGAGAGTCACTAAAAGACTCATAAGATTGTATGGGTTCTAAAATAATAAATGGAAAACATAGAACAATGAAAGTTATTAATCTAAAAGCAAGAAAAGATAAAAGGAAAGCATAACAAATTAAGTCTTTGAGTAGGGTGACAGATTTGCAAATATATCAGTAATTATAAAAAAGAAAAAATAATAACATGCAATTAAGAAAAAACATACTACATTACATTAAAAAATCCAACTATAAGGACCTGAGTTCGATCCCCGTTACCAAAATAAATAAATAAATAAATAATCCAACTATATTCAGTTTATTCATGACTTCAAATTATTCACGCCGAAGTTGATAGAAGTGAAAGGAGAAATGATGTAAGCCACAAACAAGTCTGTAATCAATGGTGAATTTTAACCAGCATCTGTCAGTAAGCAATAGAACAAGCAGACAAAGTATCGCAAGGAAATAGAATGTGAGAACCATGCCATGGCGCATCTGACATATATAAAACACAGAAGCTAACTGCTGCCAGATACACAGCATTTTTAAGTACCATTTTCAAATATTTTGGGGGTTTTTTGGTACCAAGGATCAAACTCAGGTCCTTGTGCTTGCAGGGCAAGCGGCAGAACCACTGAGCTAAATTCCGGGCCCACTGTCTTCAAATATTAACCAAGCAAAGTCTCAACATACCTCACAGATTTAAAATCAAAATGTAATCTGTTTTCTTACCTCAGAGTGATTAGGCTCAGAATAAGTAACAAAAAAGATAACTAGAAATTACCTGTAGTCTTAGAAGTTAAATAAAAGCCTTCATTAATCCTTGGGTAGAAATCATGTGGAAAAAATACTTTGAACTGAATAATAAAACTAGTGGGGTATAGCTAAAGCCATGCCCAGGTGGAAATAATTTTCCTTAAAATAATGTATGATAAGATAAAGAAAGGAGAAAGGCAGAGATCTGAGCAATCATCTCAAGAAAACACGAAAGGAACTGGAAATGAAGCCCAAATAAAATTGGGGGGAAAGTGGAAATGAGAATGCAGGGAAATAGGAAGTAATAGAATCAACAACAAAAGTTCATCTTTTTGGACAACTAATCTCATCAGACTGAGTAACAAAAAGGATAAAAACTACAAATAATCCATTTCAGGAATAGAAAGAGGACATCATGTCCAATTTTGTAGACATTAGAAACATAATTTGAGGTTATTACTGAATGTTTAATTATACCAATATATTTAAAAATATACATGAATGCATAGCAGTCTACAACTATACAATTTACCAAAACTAACATGCGAAGAAAATCTGAACCGTTTCATTACTATAAACAAATTAAAATTCATAACACAGAGAAATACAGTTCATTGGTTCCACTGGTGAGTTCCACCCAGGCTATCAGAAGAAATTTAAATTAATCCTATACAAACTTGTGCTGAGTTACACTATTGTAGCAAATACAACCCACAGTGCTGCAGATCTAGGTAGTATAACAGAGTCAGTCAGAAAAGAATGGAGCAAGCACCCTGGAAGTTGGAGGCAGATGTATTTCCCTAGCAGACCACCCGGGACTTCTCCACAAAGCAATCAGTCCTGTCTTGGGGGGTGAACAGGGTTTATAAAGATTTGGGAAAAGATGGGTGAGGCTACAGTGGCTGAACACGCAGCATCAGTTCATTGGTTGAGGTAGATAT